TACTAGTACTACTACTACTACGACTACTACTACTACTACTACTACTACTACTACTACTACTACTACTACTACTACTACTACTACTACTACTACTACTCTTTTTCCTCATCATCATCATCCTCCTCCTCCAGCGCTACTCTTTTTCCTCATCATCATCATCATCATCCTCCTCCGGCGCCGTCCCCCTGCGCAACTGTAACCCAGAATCCCGCGGGGGCCCACCCTCCCTGCAGCTCCCACCCTCCTCTTCACAGAGGGGGAGCGACACCGCGGCCTGGGGCGCTGTCACGGGGCCGAGGGGCATACCAGACGGCAGAGAACCTTGGCGCGACAGCCGCCCGCCACTGCTGCCGTTCCTTTTCCCCTTCGTGGGGAGGACGGGGAGGAGCAGGTAGGTAAGAGCGTGAACGTTCGAGGAAGTCTTAAGCGAAAGCGCCGTTCCTGAAGAAAGTCTCGGGCGGGAGCCCACGACGGGCGGGCAATCCCCTGACGGGCGGGTCGGGCGGGTGGGACATTCAAGCGGGATGCCTGAGTATGGCGAGAGCGCGGTTACTAAGTAAATTGTAACGGCGTCCTTGGCGCAGCGTGTTTCCTGCGCGTCGAAAGCGCGATTCCTGAATAAATCGCATGGAAGTCACAGGCGAGAGCGCAACTCCTGAGTAAAATATGAGGGGCTCTCTGGCGGGAGCGGGGGCCTTGATTAAATTGCGAGGAAGTCTTGACTCACTTGCGAGGAAGTCTCAAGAGGGAGCGCCGTTCCTGAACAAGTTGTGAGGCTGTCTCAGATGGGGAGCGGGGGTCCTGACTAGATTGCGAGGAAGTCACAGGCGGGAGCACCGATCCTGAGTTAATTGTGAGGAAGTCTCAGGAGCGGGGGTCCTGAGTAAATTTGGAAGACGTCTCAGGCGGGAGCCGTTGTTGTTATAATCCAGGGGGCCAGGGGCTCAGTTTGAGCAGGAAGACTTTCCCTGTCAAAAAACAGGGTGCGAGCGTCGAGGGGCACACTTTGATTGAGAAAAAACCGCACGCACCGGTGAGGGGGATCAACAATAACTATTCTTCAGAAATGAGAATTCAACAGCAGCAACAACAACAATCATTTTAAGACTGTTCGCCCTTATTTGCTCGAGTGTCGAATAACACGAATTTCCCAAACCCTCGATACCCGCCCTTTTCGTCTTCGATCGAACTCCTTTTGGGGGATATACCTTTCTTCCCTGCAGGCCGGGCCCCGGCAAGCGGCGGGGCGGCCGCCGACCGTCGGCCTGGCCAGCGGCAGCGCTGATCGGCGGGGCGGCCGCGGACCGTCGACCCGACCCCAAGAGGGACGGACAGGGGACCGACGACGACGACGACGACGTCGACGACGACGGCAACGACGGCGACGGCGACGACGACGACGAGCGAAAGCGAGAGCGAGAGAGAACGACAGCAGAGCCACGAAGGACACGAAGTAGGGCACGAAGGGCGACAGCGGGGACACGAAGGGAATGCGTATGGGGCCACGAAGAGCGCGAACGAGCGTGGGCCACGAAGGGCAAAAAATGCGGGGCCACAGAAGGCAACGATGGGGCCATTGAGGGTAGCACCTGGGCCACGTAGGACAATGAGGGGGCCACAAACGGCGACAGCGGGGCCACGAAGGGCATGCACATGGGGCCACAACGGACGCGAACGAGCGGGGGCCACGAAGGGCATACGTATGTTGGGCCGCGGAGGGTAAGGACGGGGCCACAGTGGGCAGCAACGGGGACACGAAGGGCAGCGAGGGGGCCACGAAGGGCGACAGAGGGGCCACAGAAGGCAACGATGGGGCCACTGAGGGTAGCAACTGGGCCACGTAGGACAGATGCATATGGGGCCACCACGGGCGCGAACGAGCGGGGGCCACGAAGGGCATACATATATGGGGCCACGAAGCGAGGGGGCCACGAAGGGCTGCAACGGGGACACGAAGGGCAGCGAGGGGGCCACGAAGGGCTGCAACGGGGCCACGAAGGGCTGCAACGGGGCCACGGAGGGCAGCGAGGGGGCCACGAAGGGCTGCAACGGGGCCACGAAACGAAGCGAGGGGGCCACGTAGGGCTGCAACGGGGCCACGAAGGGCAACGAGGAGGCCATGAAGGGCTGCAACGGGGCCACGAAACAACGCGAGGGGGCCACGAAGAGCTGCAACGGGGCCACGAAGGGCAGCGAGGGGGCCACGAAGGGCTGCAACGGGGCCACGAAGGGCAGCGAGATCCCGATTCCTAGGTAATCTGTGAAGGAGTTCTAAGCGTGAGCGCGACTCCTGGGTGCCTCGGTGTCGGGAGCGCGGCGCTGGAGTAAATTGCAAGAAATTCCCACGCAAGGGCGCTATTCTTCAGTGAATTGCAAGCAAGTCTCCAGCGAGAGCGCGACTCCAGAGCGCAGGAGGAGCGATTCCTGAATAAATCGTAAGGAAGTCCCAAGCGAGAGCGCGATTCTTGAATAACATGCGAAGAAGTCTCGGGCGGGAGCGGGGGCCCTGGTTAAATTGTGAGGAAGTCTCAGGCGGGAGCCGTTGTTGTTGTAACCCGGGGGCCAGGGGGCCAGTTTGAGCAGGAAGACTGTCAAAAAACAGGGTGCGAGCCCCGGGGGGGCACTTCAATTGAAAAAATCAATGTGCACCGGTGAGCGGGGATCAACAAGAATTATTCTTCAAGAATGAGAGTTCAACGACAACGACAACAACAACAACGACGACGACAACAGCAACAGCAACAGCAACAACAACAGCATGAACAACCATAACACCAACGACAACAACAACACCAACGGCAGCAACACCAACAACAGCAACAACCACAATCATCAGTTTAAGACTGTTCGCTCTTACTGGCACGCGTGGCTTGCATTCTGTACACCCCAACTCTCGATATCCGCCCACTTCGTCTGCGATCGAACCCCCTTTCGGGGGAAATATCTTCCTTGTCGGCCACTGACTGAAGTGCGAGGAACTCTCGCGCAAAATGCGCCGTTCCTGAGTTTGGGGGCCTCTCTGGCCAGGGGCTCTCAGAATACATCTTGAGAAATATCGAACGGGAGCCTTTGTCTCCGTGTCTGGGCCTCCACCAACTTCTCTGAATTACGAGAAAATCTCGAGCGAGAGCGCCACTCTTGAGTTCGGGGGCCTCTCTGGCAAGGAAGTAACGAACGGGAGCCCTTGTCGTTGTAGTTGGGCCTCCACCAATTTGACCGAAGCACGAGAAAATCTCAAGCGAGAGCGCCGCTCATGAGTTTGGGGGCTTTCATGGCCAGGGGCTCTCGGAGTACATCGTGAGGAAGTATCGAGCAGGAGCCCTTGTCGTCGTGACTGGGCCTCCACCAACTTACTTGATTGAATTGCGAGAAAGGCTCGAGCGAGAGCGGCGTTCCTGAGTTCGGGGGCCTCTCTGGCCAGGGTGTCTCGGGGTAACTTGTGGGGAAGTATCGAGCGGGAGCCGTTGTCGTTGTAGCCGGGCCTCCAGGGGCACACACTTACACGCAAGACAGCGCTCGCGCGGGAGCCTCCTTACGAGGAAAAATGGAGCCGGTGTCGAGGCGAGAACGCGCGGAACCGCTTCCGGAGATCAGCAATGGCAATGAGCATTCTCTAAAAATTGATAAACAACCACAACGACAACAACAACAACAACAACAACAACAACAACAACAACAACAACAACAACCGCAACAGCAGCAGCAGCATCAGTAGCAACAACAACAACAAGCATCATTTTACGACTGTTCGCTCTTATCTGCTCGAGCATCACTCAACACGAATATCCCGAACCCTCGATACCCGCCCTCTTCGTCCTCGACCATACCCCCTTGGGGGTATATCTCTCTTATCTGCAACGTGTATTTCGCGCAGCCCCTGAAGCACGGGACGAGAGGACGGATGGAAGGAAGGGCAAGGGGGAGGGAGAGGATGGAGCATGGGCTAGGAGCAGAAAAAACGCGGCAGAACCAGACGGGCAGATCGGGCGGGTAGACCCTACCAGGCGGGTCGGGAAGGAGGGCCCAGGCCGCCAGGTCGAGCAGGCGGGTTGCCCAAGCGTGAGTCCTGCATGAATCGCGAGGAAGTCTCGAGAAACAGCTCGATTCCAAAATTGATCGTGAGGAATCCACAGCGAGAGCGTGACTCGTGAATGTCGAGGGCGCGGCGTCTGAATAAATTGCGAAGAAGTTCAACGCGAGAGCGCAGTTCCTCAATAAATTGTGAGGACGTCCCGTGCGAGAGCGCGATTTGGGAATACATTGTGAGGAAGTATCAGGCGGGAACCGTTGCTGTTGTAGTTCGGGGGCCACCAACGCAGTTTGACCCGAGTGACTTCCCCTGATAAAAAAACAAGGTGCGAGCCCTGGGGGAAGCACTCCAATTGAAAAAGCACAGTTGTCACCGGAGAGGGGACATCAATAACAAATATTCTTCAAAAACAAGAATACAACAACAACGACGACGAGAACGGCAACGGCAACAACAACAATAATGACAACGACGAATCTGAAAACAACAACAACAGCAGCAACAACAACAACAACAACGACGACGACAATGACACAAACAACAACATCAACAACAATAACAACAATAACACCAACAACAACAGCATCAGCACCAACACGACCTCTAAAAACAACAACAACCACAACAACCACAACAACATGAATAACAACAACAACGACAACATCCAGAACAACAACAACCACAACAACGTCGATAACAACAACAACAATGATTACAACGACAACA